CGGTGAAGAGAGCAGGGATTTCCCCCTCGATGAGCTGCAATGCGTCGAAAGAAGGGACAGAGGCGGAGTTCAAGGGAGAAGTCGGTTGTCCCAGTGGGGGGCTAAGAAGAAGAAGAAGAAAGGAAGCGGGCTCACGGAGGGCCCCCCACGGGCTTGAACCGCTCACCTTGAGCCAAAATGGGGCATCTCTCTCTCTCTCTCTCTCTCTCGCTGTCTCTTTAATTTGCTATAGGGGCTAGAAGGCTAGAACCAGAGGCAGTCCCCCCCGGATTACGATTACACTGCATGGTTCTCTTTGCTGGTGGGCTCTTGGGTCGGAACTTCTCTTCAGCCCAACGGGGTGCGCTTCAACCCTCAGCTACACCCCCCCCAACACAGTGTAAGTGTTCGTTTGCCTCACGGAAGAAGCACAACAAGTCAAGCAGCTCTTCGCACTTTGGCAGGGGCAGGCGCAGCAACGAGACAAGCAAAAACCTAAAAACAGGAGACCTAAACCCGATCAGCCATTCACCACCACGATTCACACTGGTCGAAAGCTGCCTGCATGCTGACACTTCCGTCTGCGGTGTTCAGCATGATTTGGCGCTCAGATCATTACAGTATCATGGTCACGTATGCTCGCATCATCTCGCTCGAATTTGGGCAGTGCTGCTGGTAGGACTAGCCGAGGGGTTGGTTCCGACTTGTCATTGAGCCAACAGCTCTCTGGGGTCACCAGGTCGGTGTGATACGATTGGGCGAAATAAGCAGCACTCACCCCCAGCAGCTCAAACCTTGCGGGTTGTCCGTATTTCTCCCTGTTCATCTCCCTCTCTCTCCACCCGGCCCAGAACAGCCCATAGCTATTGGTTACTACAGGGGTTCTCCTCGAGAGAAAGCCCTGGGAAAGTCCCCTGCTCCGGAAACCCTGCACACCTCACCACGGCGGTTTCCAACAAGCCCGCCGAAGTCGCCGACCTCGTGGTGCGATGCTGCGGTCAACAAGGAGCCCACAAGCGCTTCAGAGAGGCCGGCAACCCTCGCAAAGCTCACCTCGGTGAGAACCTCAGAGCCAAACCCCAAAACAGCGAAGGCAGACTCAGGCAGAAATCCTAGAGGCGGACTACCATGTCCAGAGAAGGTGCCTCTCCACCGCAAGGCAACACAGACCCGACGCCGACGAAAGAAGAGCCTGCAGCTTCTCAGACAAGACCTCCGCCTCCAAGTGACCGCACCTGCCACGGTTTGGGGCACTGAAGCTGGTAAGCAGTCCAAAGACCACAAGCGCACCTCCCTGGGCTGCAAGGGGCAACAGCGAGAACATTTGTCTTGGTCTTTGTGTAGTCCAAGGTGTCCCTGCGAAACCTGGAAGACTTCACGACACCCTGCAGCCTTGCGGCGGATCTGTCGCTTGCCCTCAGGGACCCCCGCAGGCGCACGTTGTGCTGCACGTGAGGCTCCAGGCTTCTCTCGCAGACCTCGCCAGTCACAGCTCTTCGGAAGCTAGCAGAAAGGCTGAGAGGCCGAGAGAGTGCATTTGGGCGTCACGCGAAGGCGATTTTTGCCCCCAGCATTGCTGCACAGAGCCCGGCCGCCATGCACTCAGCGCCTCACAAAGCACACAGTGTCCACATGTTCCACACCTCGCAAGGGGTCGCTGGCCTATGCTCGCCAGCGCTTTGCCTTCGAAACTTCGACCAGCCCTGGGTGCGGACTGGACATGCTGCAATGAAGTTGGCGCAATCGCACCAGCAAGTACCGTCGCAATTCAAGGGACAGACAGCTGTGCGATCATAGGCCGACCTCTGCCAACTCTGTCGTCACAGCTTGCGCTGCTCATGAGTGAGGCCGCGACTCGCCACCAAGTCTGCAACGTGACAGGCCACCCTTTGCAAGGTAACTATAGTCAACTCTAGCCATACTGACTCTGCAGCAGACTGAAGCCTTGATGCGAAGAAGGGCGCTGGTGGCGATTCTCTGAAAGAACCAGTAGCCGGCCTCGACATCCAGCTGAGACCAAGATTGCCGGAGCGAGCCAACATTGGATACACTCTCTCTCAGAGCTCCACGGATCGACGACCGTCAAGAAGAAGTCGTGCTGGTACTTCGGTGCTAAATGTTCCTCACGGCCGCACGTTTCGCCCTCATCTCAGGTCTCAAGGACCAAGGGCGTGTACGAAAGACCGAGGAGGCTGCCAGCGACTCTTTGGCTGACACCGTTTGTCGGTCCAACCTCCGTCGGTGTACGGAAGACCATGGCATAAGCTCGGCGCCTGAGATGGTCTCAGGCCCCGGCCTGAAGCACAAGCGCCACTTTGGCCGCCTTGCTCCTTGCGCAGAGCAGAGCAGAATTCAAAGCCCTCTCTGACATGGAAGCCTTAACAGGTCTGAGCTCACTGAGCTCCCTGCGATTCGCGGGTTCTTGCTGTGGAGGGCTGCCATTGATGATGTAGCCCTTTCTCTGCCTGGAGTTTGCATGAGCAGGAGCAGTCCGTCGTCCAGCCACTATCATCTCGGCATTCTTCTGGGCCGCTCTTTTCCAAGGAAACATGGCTGCAAAGCGAAAATCCCTGGAAAATCTGCAGTCTGTGGTTCAGCGGTGCTGTCCGCAAACCTACTACCATCCACATTTCGAACCGTCAGGTCACGATTTCAGTTGCCTGACTGCTTCTGCCAAATGCGCGCGCAAGATTTTGGCGGCGGGCATGGAGAGATCTCGTGGCGATCCAACCTGGTCGCACAGCTTGCGCAGACTGAACGTTGATGAATACACGGATCTGATGGCTTATATGAACTCAACGATTTCTTATTGTAGCTTCTCGATTCTCGAATCCCTCACAGCCCAAACTAAACACAAAATACGACGGGTCCGAGCCATTCCCAGCCGTGTACCGCCATAAGATACTCCCAAACGCGCACAGAATCGCAGACGTGCTTGTTTCTCAGCTTACATGTCCTCATGCAGTCATCGTGACTCTTGCCGGGTACATGCAAATGGCAAGACTGATTTCTGTTCGTCTGTGGCATTTTTTGCCTTTCCACCCCGTTTCTCGCGACCCGTACTTTGGGGACTTGCTGGACGTACAAGCAAGGCTGCGTAGCCTTTCCATCAAGTTTCTATTGCTGCAGTCGATGTGAAGTGTGCTCGTCGCCTCCTGTTCTGAAGGCACCGACCTGTCCCATCACGCATGCTGGCTCCAATCCCGAGGTCCTCACGCGGTCTCGAAGGTAGCAAATGCAATCCGCGATAACCTCAAGATCGCGTCCGGACATCTTCGCCTGGAGAGAAGGATTCATTCCTGACGTATGCCGTCTCGAAACTTCCAAGCACCTCTTTCTCGACGGAGGCCTTGATGCTCAGCCTGGGGCAACGCTGCACTGTGCAAGGTCGTAGCTACAGACAGGGCCAACGAAGGTCTGGAGTGAAGTGATTGCGCCCAGGTACACAGGGCTTGGGTCCCCTTTGAGAAGGGCGGTGGCAATCGAGCGAAGCACCACATTCACTCCAGCTGCATAGTCGTCATTCGGCCTTCACGGCTGAGCTAGGCAAATGCGTGAAAAAGCTTAGCTCGAACCAGCAGTCTGCTTAACTGAAATGAGGACAGCAGATTGCCAAGTTCAGGGTAGAGTGCACCAGCAGTCTGCAACTCAACGTCTTGCAATCACCGTGACACCCCGCTCAGCGTACTATAGCGTACTTCTGTTGGTGCAGCCGTGCCTGGCATAAGGATCTGCAAGCTCACCTTGACAGAGGTCAGACACAGGCTGCCCTTACCGCCGGCATGCTGCAGTGTCTGCATTCCGGTGTCGGGGATTCTTGCAGATGAGGCGCATTTCGTCGGATTGCCTCGCGCCCAAGAGCCCACATCGCCTCCGGCTGCACAGCAGCAGAATCGGGTGACTGCCTCTGGCAAGCTGATGTCATCTACAGGTCAGGCTCAAGTCATGCGCTAATGCGCTTTGGGCTTGGCCTGTTGATTCTCGGTGAGCCGCATCGCCGCCTCAATCCGATAGTCCTCCAGCAAAAAAGAAGTCCTCTGTGAGTGCGACCTCCTAGTGTCAAGCTGTCCTCCTCCGACCTTTCGAGCTGCTCCGGTGTGGGGGGCTCAACACTTGTCTGCCATTGTGCAGGGAGCTTGGCGCTTTGAGGATCAATGTCCTCCTGAGACAAGCACATTCATGCAAAGTCAGTTCTGTTGAGCACTGTCAGGGACTCGATTAATGCCACGAAGATACTCTTGCTCGCACGGCTTCTGCCTGGAGAGGACATGTGACATACTTGTCTGGGTTCTTCTACAAAGATGCCGAGCGCCAAACGTTGTCATTGGAAAAGCATGGGCCGTACTGCGGAGGAATGTCCATACCTAGCAACAGTAACTGATGCTGAAGTAAGCACCGGAAGGAGATGAAACGGTGTTTCGAACCACAGCAGGCACAAGCATAATGCTGCATCTGCCAACCCCAACCAGTCCGCTATGCGCACAAGCAACAGTGCGTGTAGTAGTCGCTCTTCGTCGCCATGTAGTGCGGCAGCTTCTCGTATGCAGAAAGCCACCTGGGCTCTACGCAAGTGAAGTGGGTAACTGGGTCCGAGAGATGCGTGACTCCGTCCTTCAGACATATACAAGACGTCACTTGGAATACTGGTGCGATAGGCCACTCGTCGATGTGTGCAAACTTCTTGCGCACGTCATACCCTTTGTAATACCTTGGGTCGGGGGCGTCCCTGCACTCAAGACACGACGGCAGCACGATTGCAGGCTTTGAAGCTGATCTGTGCAGTGCGCACTGATTTGCAGCCACCCAGCATGGCACTCGCAACTGCACGCTCTACATGAGAGACATACTGCATGTCCACGATGGTCGGGTGCTGGTAAGGCAGGAAGAACGGCGACTCCTCCACTTCTGATGATGGGGCTAAACTCGAGCAACTGGAGCTTGCAATTCAAAGTGCTTGGTGATGCTGTGCCGATACATGCCAAGCAGCTGTATTCTTCGCCAACTCGGAATCAACTGCTTGTAGGGCGCTGGTGAAATCCCTTTCGGAACCACCAATCAACGGCATCTCTGGTCCTCGGATTGGCTTCCCAAGTGTGACAAGCACGATGGTCAAAGAATTCAGTGTCTCAGCCAAGGCGCGGAATAAGTATGAGCACCACGCGCCGAAGAGTTGTCGTTCCAGGCTGAGAAGCTTAGCAGCTCGGTCCCGCAGTGGTCCCGAGGCTGGAAACCTTGCGCTGGCAGAGAAGACCACAAAGCTAGGTTTGGTCGCCTCCAGGCACCCACCTTGCCCTACAACTTCCTGCCGAGTCATGTTATTGTCGGCGTCGACTTCTCGAATCGAGCTTTGGTGTCTGTGTTGACTCGTTGTCCGTTTCTGTGCTTCGAGCACCATGGCTTCTAGCAATGCTTGAAGAGTCCAGGTTGGCGGTGCTGATGTTGATGCTCCTGCTCTCGAGACTTACTCAGGTACATGCCAGTATGGTGCAGTTCTGTCCGAGGGCGAGTGCTGGATGCAACACTTGTAGCGGGCCAAGCGAACACGAGCCAAGCTTGACGTGAAGCCTTGGAGCGCCGTCACCGTCCCACGACTTAAATGCCTGTTCACTTGTCGGCTGTGTGCGGTAGCGACAAAAACTTCGCTTCTTGCGCTTCACCTCGAGAGATGAGCAGGTGCGATCTGGATCCTTGACTGAGGTCTCAACAGGCGCATTCCTTGCCGTGTTTGTTCTGAACGTGTCTGGCTTGCCCGTGAAGAGTTAGTGGCGAAGAGCACTGGGCGTTCAATGCTCGAGATATTCTTCTTGTACGTTCTTCTGCTGACCATCGAAGCCGCATGCAACAAGCATCATGAAACGCTGAGTGTCTCCATCGCATCCTTAGCTTTCATGCTGAGCTTGCTGCATTGGCTTGTCTGGATCTGGAAACGCACCTTCCTTGGTTGTTAATTGAGAACTGCACACGTCTGCAGAGGCATCAAGTCAAGATAATCTGCATCGTCAAGCCAAGAATCGATAGTGAACCTTCGCTGCTTGAGCCGTGCAATCGCAGTCTAATTGGAGGGAGAGAAGAAGGGATGGGACGGGAGGGGAGGGGAGGGGAGAGGAAGAGGGCACCCGTCTAACAGCAAAGGCAAGGTCGAACAAGAAAGCATGGCATTTCGTGGCATGATTTTGGGGCCACGCCACTCTAGTGAAAAGAGACCACGCTTGCGGGACACCAGGTGGGATCAATCCGGTGCGCAGACGGTGGGTGAATGTGGGCGATGCAGCACCTTCGGCGTAAGCCAGGACATTCTCACCACGTGGGCAAAACCTCGACGCATCCACGCTTCGAGCAAGCCGGCATGAGCCAAGGCGAGAGATCGAGGTTCAGAATTAGAGAAGTGCTGAGGAGCCGTCAACACGAACATGAGATTGAAGAGCAAAGAGCAACGTTGAGGGGAACTAGTGCTGCTTCGCACACAAACAGGCAGAAATCGAGCCAGGTCGTCATGCTTTGACGAGCAGCATGATGTCCAAGCTCTCTGTCATGACCTGCCCACGAGAATCGCATCAAAAGAACCAGTCTGGCCAGAAGTGTCCGGCGGGGCATGGCCTTGCCATCTATTTCCATGGCTGGCAAAAGCCCGCGAGGAACCAAAGCCATGAACTCCCTGGGCTTGTCACCTAAGTGTCGCGTGCTTCGCACTCTGCCTCCAAGTCGCCCCACACCCTTTGGTAGCCAAAGGGACCGTACGATCGCATCGGCACTTTCTCCACTTCGTAGTCAACCTGCTTCTCTTCGAGAAGCAGCCAAACCTTCCTCATGTTCGTGCTGCATCGAGTGTGATGCTGTAATTTGCAACAGGAGCAGGAACAAGAATCGGTGCCGATGAGACGCTGGCAATAGGGACACCATGCTGCCTGATCTCGATAAATCTTTACTCGAGGTTTACTTCCTGAGTTTGCCACGTTTCGGGTGCCAATGATTAAAAATGTCCACTCTTTGACTCTCTGCTGCCCGGCAACGATCCTTGCCAAAGTAGCGCACCTCAGCTGACAGCTGCTCTGGGCCTCGCCTGCCCTCAAGACTCGAAGCTTCCGGCACCTTGGCATCTGTGTGCGGGATCAGGCCTTCCACCCGGTCTTCCCAGGACTTGAGCACCTGCTCGCCTTTGCAGGGACGCGACAGCTTGCTTGCAGCAAGCCCTGCTCTCTTTGGCTTTGTTTTCCGTCCGCCTGCTTTCGTCTGGCGAGCCTGAGTGGCGAGTCCTCGCAGGAGCCGCAGCCGCACTCGTTTCATAGCCGTGTCAAGAGCAGCGTGCGATCAGCGGTGCAATGACTCAAACTTCCCAGCAGTCCTTCCCAGCTTTCTAGCGTGGCCGTCGCCTTCAGGGCGGCGTAGGAGGTGCCTTCGCGCGTGGATCGGTCAGTGCAACAAAGCATGCTTGCGAACCGTCTCACGCCTCGAGATGACATCCGCTTGGAAGCGTAGGCTCCAACCTTGGTCAAGCTGCAAACAGAAGGTGCCTTACAGGTCTGGGAATAACCGCGCTTCCATTAGTTGCCTCTTGGGCTTGCTAAGCAGAAGGCAGCAGCGAGAATTGCAAGCTAAAGCAGATGTGACCAGAAACCTAGAGCAACATGACATGAATTAGGGTCAAAAGGGTTCAGCCTATCTGTATCCACTGCGCACAACCGACAGAGCCCTTTGGCCACTAATTTGTGGTCGCCCTAAGTCGCGGCAGTCCGTCAACAAAAGTCGTTGCAATGCTGCGTTTCCGCATGGTGACGCTCGAACCGG